GAAGCGTTCCCGAACGCTCCGAGAGCGTTCCAGAAAGCTCTGGAGCGGATTCATCTTCGTCCTAGCCCCGTCCGATGCTGCCCGGTTGACTCACTCCTCCGTGCTCTGCTCCTCCTCCTCCTCCCGATTCCTCGCTCTGGCTTCTGCTCCTGGTCCTTCTCGTCGTCCTCTGCCTCTTCCCCCCCTTGCTCACCCCTCGCTCGTCCTCCTCTTCCTCCTCGCTCCTTTTCCTCCTCCGCCTCCTCCTCCTCGCTCCTTTCAGGCTGGCTCCAGTTGGCTCCTCAGCAGAAGCCTCCGAAACTCAAAAGAAATAACACATTATAGTGGGCAGAGTACTGCGCACCAGCCTTCTGCACGCAGGGCGCTGATCCTGCACCTCATCCTCTCCAACTTCCTCTTCCTCCTCCTCCTTCTCCTCCTCCTCCTTCTCCTCCTCCTCCGCCTCTTGCGCACCCACTAATTGCTTCCCTCTACCGTATTCCCCCCAACCTCGCTCCTCGCCCCCACTTCTTTCCCAGGGCGCCTCTCAGCTCCTCGCTCACCCCTTCGCTTCTCTGGGAAAGAAACCAGAGGGCATCGATGCCGCTGCTCCCTGGACCTCTCCCGGGGTGCGTTCTGACCAGAATCTCGAGGCGAATCCAGCGGTGGCGACGAGGGCCTCCCAGGAGGCCCAAGAAAGGGAAAACGAGGGAAGTGTAGCGGTGTGGGTACCCTTTCCTTCTCTGAGACCCCGCCATCGCTTGGGAGAGTGCGCCGTGACAATGCCCTTGCTGCCAGGGTGGGCCTCGGCTGCCTTGCCAGAGCAGTGGCCGCCTGCAGTCCGGTGGACGAGCGAGTACCCAGTCGGGCACTGGCTGGCGGGTCCCTGCCTTTCTCTGCCCCAAGCCCTCCACCTCCACCTCCACCTCCAACTCCAAGCCCCAAGCTTGAGCAGGGACCGACCGTCCCAGCAATCCTACAGGCCTACCGCGAGATGTTCTCAGAACCCACATGTGTTCTCATGACAACAACCAGGTTCTTAGAACACACACCCGATGTGTTGTAAAGCACAAGCTCAGCCAGAAATGCTCGAATAACATTTCGTGCAGACTACCAGGGGTTCTTAGAACATTCCTTGGTGGGCCTATAGGCGAGCCAAGACGCTTGGCCTCTGCTTGACACCTCCAACTCCACCTCCAAACCCAAGCCCTCCACCTCCAAGCCCTCCTGAGGGGCAACGATAGGGGGGGTCTGGCATAGGGGAGGATGCATCGACCTGGAATCGGCGATACATCGCCGATAGATCGGCGATAGGGCCCCGATAGTGAGTCCGCACCTTCCTGGACAGGCTGGGGCCATCGGGCCCCCATCGGAGATCAGTGTGCGATTGGGGGTCGATGCACCCCCCCCTTCTGCGTATCCCCCCCTGCCATTGCCCCTGACTGCCCCGAGCCCTCCACCTCCACCTCCAGGCACCACGCCCTCCACCTCCACGCCCTCCACCTCCACCACAGGCCTCCGCGGCAGCGGCGTCTGGAGGCCGCATGCCGCGCCGCGCTGGGCACGCCAGCGGTGCCGGCTCCGCTGCGGGTGCGGGGGCCAGCGCCGGCGCCTCCACCGGCTCTTCCAGGCACGAGCTGCGCGGGATCGCCACCACCACCTCGCCTGGGGGAGGGATTGGGGCGACAGAGGGAGGGGGAACTGCTTGGAGGGGTGGAAGGGAGGAAAAGGGAGGGAGGGGAGGCGGGAAGGAGTAGTGATCTCGAAGGGACTCGTCGGAAGAGTTAGCCAACAACCTCGCAAGGTGGCGCGCCTGGCTTGTAAGCCGCAACGCCACTGGGGGGATGGGGAGAAGATGGGAGGGGGGGCCGGGGAGGGTACTGAAAGCGAGAGGGGGGGAAGGGAGGGTGGAGAGAAATGAGGGGGAGAACTAGCCACCATTGGCCGCCGCTACTCGACTGATCCGTCACCGTGCAGCTGGGCACGGAGTGGGCGTGTCCTCAGGTCCTCTCACTACCCCTCTAAGCTTCGGTCCTTACTCCTGTGGAGTAAATTACCGGGTTCGGAGCCCCTCGGCCCAAATCTCTTGAGGCGTGGCGCGTCTTGGCGCGTGACTTTTTCGAGTCCAAGAGGGCCCCAAGATGGGCCAAGCGGGCCCCGAGAAGCCCCCAAGACGGTCCAAGGAGGCCCCGAGTCGCCGAACGATCGCTCCAAGACGCTCAAGATGGCCCCCAGACGGCCCAAGAGACCTCCAAGACGGCCCAAAGAGGCCTCCAAGAGGCCTCCTAAGAGGGTTCCAAGAGGCCAAAATCATTGATATTCCTTCAGGGTTTTGACCGATTGTGGCGTTCTCGCCTTTTCGGCTTCCCGACGCTCCACGGCCCCCTAGATGCCCCCAAGACCAGCCCAAGATGGCCCAAGAGGCCTCCAAGAGGGTCCCAAAACGGCCCAAGAGGGCCCCAAGACAGCCGAAGAGGCGCCCAGAACGGCCCAAGAGGGCCCCAAGACGGCCCCAAAAGGGCCCCAAAAGAGAGAACACGAACCGAAAATCCAAGCCTTCCGCCCCAAGAGGCTCCCATGAGGCCCCAAGAGGCCACGCCCCGCAGACATCCGACGCCGTGGCGTGCTGGTTGAATTCGCGGCCCCAGAGGCTCTCCACCACTTCCTAGACAGGGACCAATCCTTCATCTGCAGATCTTGCCGTCGCTCGGACGTCCATTTCCAATGCGTTTCTGGGCTTCGTGCGTGCTTTGTTTTGCTCGATGATCCAGGATGCTCTTCGATGGTCCGCGCTGAGAAAGAGTGCACACGTGCGAGCCATGCCCAGAGAACCCTTGATGGCCCAGGGGCTCACCGGTGATCCCACAGAGCGAAAATGCGGCGAACTTCGGGGATTCACTGACCCGGATCAATCCAGACCCGGGTCAGTCGGGCCTTGCAGGATCCGGCAAAATCCTGCAACATCCTGCAGGGTCCTGCAGGATCCTGCGCCCAAGCCCAGGTCAAAGCGACCCTGGCTTTGCAAGATCCTGCAAGATCCGGCACTCTGGCTTGACCCCCGTCTGCATTGACCCCCGAGAGCTTTCCCAGACCTCCGACGTCGCGACTTTTTCGCAACGCCGACCCCCAGAGGTCTGGACCCCTTCCCGGGACCCGGTTTTCGGCCTGCCTCGTTTTCTGACGGTCCCGAGGCCCGGTGAGGGCCTCTGGAGTCCGAACATGGCGAACAACCTCCCGCCGGGATTCTTTCGCAGCGCGGGGAGGTCCGGGCTCCGAGGCGGGCTCGCCTGCGCGGAACCCGCGCTGCGCGAAGACGCCGGCGCCGCGGTGGCCGCCGGCCGTCTGCCGGGAGGCGCGGCGGACGCATACGCCGTCGAGGCGGGCGCCCTCGCCGCGCAGCCAGGCCTGAAGGGGCCCAGCAGGACACACAAAGAAATATATACACACAGCCGAGGATTCCCCCGACCTTCCCCCATGCTCTCTGGGTCTTCGCCTTCCCCCCGCCCACTTCCCGTCTTTCCCCAGAACTATGTTCCAGAATCTTCTGGGTCTTCGCCTTCCCCCCCACGCCCCACCTCTCCCCCGCACTGCTTTTCCGACCTCGGCGCTTCATCCTGTCGGTGCGTCTTCTCCCCTCCCTGCAGGCCTCCAGGGCCGCGACGCGAGCGCCCGCGGCGCGGGCGCCGCCGGCGCGCGCAGGCCACCGGCCCGGGCCCGCGCGGCGGGCCGCCGCGCAGGCGGCCGTCGCGGCGGGCATGGCGGAGCGGCGCAGGCGGCCGGGGAGGCGAGGGCTCCTAGCTTCGCGCTCTCGCGCCGCGCGGAGCGCGAGGTGCGAACAACTTCGCGCTCTCGCGCGGCCTCCCAAGGGGAAAGGAGGAGGAGGAGGAGGAGGAGGAGGAGGAGGAGGAGGAGGAGGAGGAGGAGGAGGAATCGGAGCCGAAGCGCGAGGCGCGAATCACTGCGCGCCCTCGAGGGCGCCCTCGGGGAGGGAGCGGCAACGGTCCCACCCGCGGGGCGCCTGTGGTCCACAGCGCCAAGGGGCTGTGCTGTGGTCGTCGTCGTCGTTGTCGTCGCCGTCGCCGTCCTCGCCGGCGGCGGCGGCGGCGTCGTCGAAGTGCGCAGGCGGCTCGGGCTGCGTGCGTGTCGGCCTGACGACGGCGACGGTGCTCAGTGCCAGCCGGAGCTCCCGTTGCAGGGTCTCATGGGAGAAGGGTCGGGAGCACGCACAGAAGAACGCGACCCGCCCTCGCCCCATCTGCGACTCCTCCTGGGCCGCTCCCTCCGCGTCGCACCGCCGATGCGTGTCGGGAGGGCGAGGGCGATCTTGGCAATCTCCGAGTGCACTTTCTCGTCGTGCGTGCTCTGAGGTGTGCGAGCACCTTCTTCGTCATCGCCCTCCCCATCTGACATCTGACATTTCACCGGTTTCGTGTCCTAATTCTCTTGGAGGGTGATTGGGGCAACGCTGTTCTCAAACAGCGTTTTTTTTTTTTTTTTTTTTTTTTTTTTTTTTTTTTTTTTTTTTTTTTTTTTTTTTTTTTTTTTTTTTTTTTTTTTTTTTTCATTTATTCTTCTTTTCAGCGTGTGCATGTCGTCTTGCGGTCGGCCAAATAATCATAAACACAACGGTAAACCGAAACATAGTACAAACGACACCCGCCAACGGAACACGGCAATCAAACACAGAAGAACCGGAAACTTAAAACAGAAAACAATCAACAAGAACCGAACACAGAAAAAACAAAGGAACATCAAGCCATGCTGTTAAACGGATCGCACAACGAACCGAGAACGACGAGACGGCAATCCAACACATAACAAAAAAAACCCAAAACAAACAACAAACGTCGATCTTGAAAACGGAAAACTAGCCCGAACGTTTTTTTTAATATCATCTAAGGCTCGGAGGGGACCGTAACATACCGCTCCAACCGCTGCTGGGAATTAAATATCCTCAGGGACAAACGAGAGGGAAAGAGAGAGAGAGAGAGAGTATGTCCGATGGCGGTGTGCCTTTTTACCATCGCATGGCGCAGGGCTAGGCAGCCAGCTCCTCGGCTATGAGCGCTGGTGACCCGAGGAGCCCCCCTGCAGGAGCCAAATGCTTCAGATTCGGAGTGCGATCCAGAGGCCTCGGGAACCAAAATTTGATGCGCAGTCCCCCTACTGCGTGCAATCCAAAGGTCTCGGGAACCAAAATTTGATGCGCAGTCTCTTTACTGCGCCTCTCCAGGATGACCGGGGCGACGAGGAGAAGGAGGAGGAAACGGGCCGGGAGGAGAGAGGAGAGCCCCATTCACCGCGCCTGCGTGCGAGCATCACTCGGACCCTGCTCACCGGATTCCTCCAAGCCCCCAGGAGAGCAATATTGATCCAACTGCCGTTCCCATCGACCTGATCGAGCTGGCGATGAACTGGCGTTCCGAATCGTCGTAAAAAGTGAACGGCAACCCCATGTCGTCGGCTAGCCTTTGAATATGACGAGCTTCTTGCGCTTGCGTGACCCGCAGCGTGGCCCATGCTTTCAAGACATCGTCGTACCTGGAGTCTAGCTGTGTCGGCAACGGTAATGTGAATGACAGCCCCACATTCACGATGTACACCAACGTGAAGCCAAGCATTGAAATCCATCCCAAGGCAATCCAGCACTTGATGAGTCAAACCACGAATTGCCAAAATGAGCACGCCCAGAACCACGCAAAGTTCTCCGTAGCCGAAGCCATCCCAAAATCTAGTCAGATGCCCTGGCCCCTGATGATCGCCAGAACGCCCTCAGCCTTCTTCTTCGGGTCCTTCGGGATGTCAACCTCCGCGCTCTTGTACATTTTGTTGCTGTTGCCCACGACGAGCTTCTTCTTCGTGGCTTTCTGTATGCCCTTCGCCAACGTCTCGGTGGAGTCGGAATCCTTGTTCTCCGCGTCGCTGCCAACCAGTGAGCGCAACCAGCCAAACTCAGAGCGAGACAACGTCGTCGAGCCAGAACCGTTTCGAGAGTCGCGGCCCCCATCAGGTCCATCGCGCGAACCCTGACCTCCACGACCGCCGTGATCACGAACTTCCGGCGGCGCAGGAGGAAACTCACGTCCACGTGGCGGCTCTGCCATGCCCCGCATGTCCTTGAGCACGTCCTCGAACGTGGACTTCATCGCCTCGGCCAGGAGCTGGCCCGTCGCCCTGTGCTCCTTCTCGCGGTCCTTGAACGCCTTCTCCCACTGCATGTCGGCGAACTCCGGGTCCGCGCGCGCCAACTGGCGTCGCAGGTTCTCAACGTACTGCTCCCTCGAGTCTTCCTCCTCGAGGCGCTCGACCCACCGAGGCTTGCGAGGGCCGCGGCGGTCCCAGCCCCCATCATGCGGTCCGGGGGCCCACTGGCCGCAACGGCCACCGCCGGAATAGCCCCTGCCGCGATGATCATCGCGGCGGCCATCGCGACGCTCAGAGGGATGCCGGCGCTCACCTCTCGAGTAACCTTTGCCTCCCATGGGCGCCTGCGTGCGGAGCTTCAGCCAGCGAAGGAAATGGGGTCGCACCTTCTGAGCCACAATGCACCGCGGGAGACGGAAGACAAGGGCTCTGAGCAACGAAGTCGGATATGATAGATAATGCATCTCCAGAACCGCCTCAAGAATCCAAAGAGCGGCAACTGACGGATCAAGGCCAAGCATTCGTGATCGAGCCAGCCTCCCAGCCAGGGCCCCATAGAGAAGACCGAAGGAGCGAGGTAAACAGCCAGGCCAGTCCAAAATCGTTCGAACACCCTTCCTGGACTTTTCGTCGTACAGCCATTCCCCGTTCAAGTTCTCAGGGGGGAAAACGATGTTCGGCCCAGCCGCGGACAATTCCAAGTCAAGCCACCGAGCTGCGCAATCACGGGGGCGATGCCCGAAAGCGGGTGAAAGTTTCACGCCGTAAATAGCCTTGGTATACATTGATGTGCAATCTTGACAATGCGACGGACTTATACTCAAGATATCGTCAACGAATCGTTTCAGACCGACGTCGACGCCTCCAGTCGGACGTTGCAAAAACAAAAAAAAACCATCCGGAGAAATCGATCGGGATCCCGTTCTGCCTGAATCTCATGCGCGCGCAGCAAGATACTGAGGCCAACGCCTGACAGGGCGCCCCCCAATCGGTAGGCCTTGCAATTCAAAAATGCCCCCCACGAGACTGACCAAACTCACCCAGCAGAAGGCTAGCATTCCCCGGGCAACGTCCTCAGTAGTAATGCGGAACCATCCTCGTGCACACGTTGACGAAGTGGACGGTGCCACCCGGACTCGTCTGGCACGCCGTACGAGGACAACACCACAAGGCACTGCGGCCTCGAAGGAGGCCGCCGCAACCTGCCACGCTTCCAAGACAGCCGAAGATGAGCACTGTTCGTCGGCCTGGTCCGCGCCGTGCACGGTCAAGGTAAGACAATGGAGTTGGCGCCCACGCCGTAAACAGGACGGGGAAATTTCCGCAGACAACGATGAGCGTAAAGAGCGAACCTTGTCAGCAATCTGGCCCATCTCGAACGCCTCACAACCGGCCCCAGACATCGAGATCATAGACCTCGCCGCACGCCCAAGCATCTTGTAGCCATAACCGCCAGGAACATTCGAGGAATCGACCACGCGCCGCATGCAGGAGTGGTTCTGCTTGAAGCAAATCCTGTCGCCCTTGGAAGTGAAGCGCTTGGCCTTGATCAAAGGAAACACCGTCGGAATCTTCGTCTGGCACGTCGGCGAAGGTGCCTGGCGCCATCCTCGAAGCCAAAGCGGAAGGCCCAAATGAGCGCGTGCCCAGAGCCAAGACTGAACGGCCTCTTCGGTGAGGTCTGGCCTTGGCCGCCACGTAGGGTCTCGAAGGACTGCTTGACATACGTATCTTGCCAGGTCGGGTCCATTTGTTCTCCAAGCTTGGTCTTGGTCTTTATCGCCGCAAACTAAGATCGCCGAGGAAGGGCCCCAGGCTGCTACCGACCTGGGCGAAGAAGGTGGGCATGGAGAACACGCGCTCACAGACAACGACATGATATGCTCCATGCCCGCCCACTCTGGAGGAGCCGCTGGCACTCGCCTCGCCAAGCTCTGTCGTGCCTGGCGGATGTTGGCCGCGCCATTGCGGATGACGCGGCGGTGAAGTCGCTGGCCCAATGCCCAGTTGCAGAAAGCCCGAGTACACTCGCCAGGTAAATGGTCTGCCACGGGCCATTGGGGCAGCCGCCAAGACCCAGGAATCGCATGGAGGAGCCGAGGAGGTAGGATCACAGTCTCTGCATCCAGTGGTTCAGGTGGTGGTCGAGCTTTGAACGTGCGGAAAAATCGGCTTGCAGATACCTTGTCCTTCCAAACCGGGACCTTCGAGAAACTGTGCTTCATTCGAGGTTGTATCCACCGCCTCGCCTGTCGAAGTCGGATACTGGAAAGACTCGCTGACGCGCGCGATTTGAAAATATTCAATTTGACAGGGTCTTTCAACTGACAAGGTAGACGCACGCGGGGAACGCGAACCGAAGGAAGACCACGAACACGGAGTAGCCGGTCGATGCCAGCCATCACTGCGACAAGCCGATGATAAGAATCTACCGGGGAAGACGCCAGCCAAGCCGCACGGAAGAGAAAATCACAAATCTCCTGAATCGGCCAGTTGGGTAGCTTCAAACGCTTGCGATAACAGCCAAGCCAAGACAAGAACAAACCAACTCGATCACGATCAAAAATGTTTATCGGCCCCACTGTCTGAGAACTGTCAAGAGCATCGCGTTGGTGTCGAACATACAACACACTGAAGGGGGCAGACTCAGCGAGCACGCCCGGGAGAATATCTTGAACTTCCAATTGGCGCCGCAGTTTTGGACAGGTGGGAAAAATCGATGTCCAGATTGTGCGCGTCGACGCTGATGCTGCCGTCGGTGCTAAAAGTGAGGCACGTCGTTGCCAGGATGGAGGTCGACGCCGTACTTTCCGCCTCTTCCCACCAAATAGCAAAGCCTGTCCTTTTCGAAGGGGAGCCGATGACGCGACCTTCTCGTCCGCAGCGTTTGCCAGAGGCTGTACCTGGCGGATCGCATAAGACCCCAAAGAAAACGCTCCAACACTCGACTTCGTCCAAACACACGGCAAGAAGAATGCGGAACCAAAGCTCCGCCGCAACAGCTTATAGCGAGGTCGATCTCCTGGAGGCTTGAAAGGAAAAAAAGATATCGAACGTGTTCGGATAGCCGGCCGCAAGGCCCAGGAAACCGTTCACGACACAACTTCGCTTTCCCACAATAGACACCCACATGGTTGGCTAGGATGTACACAACGCCCGCCATGCCCGCAACGGAGCCAGTAACAGTCGCTCGGACCAACTTGAAGACCAAGTACGAATCTCGACCTGCAAGGGCATCGTGCCATTCTGGAGGGAGAAGAATGAGAACACGCCGAGCCCATTGAGGAAGCTGCTGCAGTTGCAACGCCTGTCGAAGCCGCAATATCCCAGACACAATGAGCAGATGCGCCAATGTCCCGAACAGGTGTGCTCCACGGAGACGTGGCTGACCACCAGATGCACAGCCAAACGTTGAAGTACACCAAGCAATGCCATAGGAAATTGAAGCGATGGCCGCCGATGATGCACTGATGGATGTGTGGTGCCATGCCCAATCAGCAATCTCAGCAGCAACATCAGAATGCGAAGGAAGTCGATGAAATGTTCCACTGAAAAACTCCACGGTCGTCGGAGAAACCTGTGCTGGCCACGGCCACTTCGTTGGGTGTCCCTGCAAGACCTCAGTCGGAACCGGCAGGACGGCCGCGTAGCCGGACGAAATCAGCAGGAGCAGCTGAGACCAGAGAAGACAACGAGAATGGCGTGCTGTCCGGTTCGCCGTCGTCGACCACAGCATATGGAAATAACGAATATGTAAGAAGTAGAACGCAACCACCCCGCACCACAGCTAGATACCACAGTCCGAGATCCTGCACTCCTGGAACCTTGATCACCCGTCGCCGCTGCTGCAGCCAGAACAGATCAAGAGAGAGAGAGAGTATGTCCGATGGCGGTGTGCCTTTTACCATCGCATGGCGCAGGGCTAGGCAGCCAGCTCCTCGGCTATGAGCGCTGGTGACCCGAGGAGCCCCCCTGCAGGAGCCAAATGCTTCAGAGTGCGATCCAGAGGCCTCGGGAACCAAAATTTGATGCGCAGTCCCCCTACTGCGTGCAATCCAAAGGTCTCGGGAACCAGAATTTGATGCGCAGTCTCTTTACTGCGCTTCTCCAGGATGACCGGGGCGACGAGGAGAAGGAGGAGGAGACGGGGCGGGAGGAGAGAGGAGGAGACGGGGCGGGAGGAGAGAGAGAGAGAGAGAGAGAGAAAGAGAAACAAAAAAAGACAGGAACGGACGGGAGAAGGGAAGCAGGGGGGAAGAGGAGGGCCGAGGAGAGATCAAGCAGGAGAGAGGACAATTGAGGGAGCAGGGGAGGCGATGAGGAGGAAGAAGTGTGGGGCAACGAGAATGGGGACAGGGGACGGTGAAGGCACTGGGAGAAGAGCCACGGGGAGCGGGAGGAAGACGGGGACGGAGGAGGGAGGAGGGATGGAGGGAGGGAGGGAGTGAGGGAGTGAGGGAGAAGGAGGAGGAGGAGGAGGAGGAGGAGGAGAAGGCACTGGTGCCTCGAGGATGCAACCTCCATCCCTCGAGGCTGAAAAGAAACGGGAAACAATCAAACTGCATAACAGCATTAGGCTTAGGTCGGTCATGTCCCCCTACAGGCGGGTTTTGGACGAAAAATGAAAAAGACTCAAGCATATTCAAGAATACCCAAAGATAGTCGAAATATCGTCCCCAGACTATTTTTTGCCAATTCTTGAGTTTTCATCCTGTAGAGGGACAGGCCCGACTTGACCATCGGCTGGACCCAGACCCCCGGGACCCGGTGTGCCCTTGGTGGAGGCACGAGGTGCCCGTGGGGGACCTCCTCCTGGGCAGGCGGGCCCCGCCGAGAGCGAAGGGAGCGACGGGCACGACCGCGACGCGCCTGCCGGAGGCGTGGCGAGGGTCGTGCCCATCGGTCGGAAGGGGCGGAGGGAGGCGCCGCCCCGCCCTCCCCATCACTGGCATCAGTCCTGGACCTCCCACCTGCCGACCACCCGCCTGGACATTGTTCCTGGATGGGCTAGCAAGGATGCCCATCGGTCGGAGAGAAAGTGGGCGGAAGCATGAAGTAGGAGTGCGCTGGAAGTAGATTGGGTCTCCGCCCGCCCCCCGAAGAGGAGGGAAGAGGGGAAGCCACTCGGTCATTGAAGTAGGAAGGCGTGGAATCTGGAAGCCAAAATTACCCTGTGACGTACCCAACCCTTTCTATACATGTGGCGATTATACGCAGGACCACTCTACGTTGACTGGCATTCTGAAGGACCCGCAGTGCGCAGGAAGAGCACCCAACAGTGATTTCAGAAGAGCGCAGCAAGAAGAGGAACAGCAACTATACAACATGGAAACACAAGGGCGTTGAAAGAAACGCGTATGACGTACCTCCGAATGATCCACGTGGGACGTA